TGGGGGGGGGCGGGGGGGGGTGGGGGAAACAAGAAGTGAAAGGGGGAGAGAAAAGAAAAATAGAAATATACAGAAAATATTCAAATCTTATAAATATAGCTTCTTGGGAAAAGAGAGAGCCCAGTGTTGTTGCGCTGTGCTGGCAACGCTCCTGAAGCACTGACTTGTTTTTTAACTCAGTCCCTGTGCTTTTTTCCTACTCACTTTTTTACTCCTTTAATGAGTCTTGGGTTTTTTGGTTTGTGTTCACCCTTCCTCTGCCCCAGCCCAGGAATGGTGCAGGCATAGGTCACGATGCTCCTGTCTCACTGCACCGTCCCCAGCACTGGACACTTGATCTTTCTACCTGGGTGTAGAGATGGCTTTGTTCTGGGCTGTGTCCCCAGGCTCCTACTGCCTTGCTGGAGGCTGGGGGAGGGACAGGGAGAGGATGAGTCAGTGTTGGCAGAGGTGCGCGCTCTTCTTGTGCGCTAGCCAGAAATGGGTGGGTGGGCTTGCTTTTCTGTTACGGCTCTGCGTTCTGAGTGTAGACGGAGAGCATCTACCGTGCCCACGGGCTGAGACTGTTGTGCTGTTGTTGCTCGAAGCTCTCCAGACCAGGCTGGCATCCGCTGTTCTGTCTTGTGTGCTGAAAAGCACTAACTCTTCTTTACCGTCTCCCAGCCAATAGTGAGGAGGGCAGAGCACTACTGTGAAATGGCTTCTTCCTGCTCCCTTCCTCATCTGCCCTTCCAGCCCTGGAGGGAAGCTGCAGAAGAACAGCACTTTGAACCAAGTGACTCTGGTTATAATCCCCTTCTGCGTGTGAGCAAAGGGGCCTTTTCGTGGCCTCTTCAGGCCAGTTGGTTGGTTCAGATGACAACCCTGTGGTGTTAAAACACTACACAAGTGGCCCTGCTGTGTATGGGAGGTGGTGCTGAGCCAGGCAGCTGCACTTGGATCCTGCCCCCACTTTGCGTACTTTCTCCCCACCAGCAAGGGCAGCATCCACTGATGGTCTTTTGGGGCAATCTCCTAGGTTTGTGTTCTCATTCCCTGCTGTGAATTTATCTTTTTAATCTTGGAGAGGGAATTCCTTTCTTTTTAGTTAGAGAGGCAGCACTACTTCTGGGGAAGAGAAAGGGCTATGTTGTTGAAGCTGCTCTCTTGAATGGTAGTCTGAGGGTTTGTGCTTTCAGTTAGGAATAAATCTGATTAAATCCCCTCCTCTGCCCTTCTGGAGGAGTGGGAGGAGATGGCTGATCTGGTGCAGAAGGGAAGCGCCTAGTGTAAATTTGTCATTCCAACCAGATCATGCTGGTGCAGACAGTGGCAGGCTTACTGCAGAGCAGAGACAGACGCTCTGAAGCCGAGCAGGTGTCCCCATGTGTGAACCTACGGCGACAGGGCCAGAATTCGGGAGCGCCCCTGCAGCTTTCCCCAAGGCCGATGATGTGCTGCAGCAGGGCAGTAATAGCTTTTCAGATAGGTCACTTCTGTGCCAGGGAGCCTGAAACCCACCTTCAGGGGGAAGTGTGGAGGGTGTCTTTTTGCCCAGGCAGGGCTGGTGGCTCCCTAGGTGGGAAGGAGGCTGCCTTGGAGGCTGTTGTGAGAGTATGGAAGAGTGAGACAGAGATGAGGCTCCAGGAAATCTTGTTTAATTTAAAAAAAAAAAAAAATCTGCTGCCTCCCAAGTGGGGGGGGGGGGGGTTGGGTTTCTTTTTGGTTTTCTTTTAAATTTTTCTCTGGAGCACCTTCTGAAACCTGCTTCTGCTGTGTCTCTTGAGAACTAGCAGGATCTTTCCAAACATCCCTGTTTCAGGGGAGATGGACTTGAACTCGCACTTTTCCTTCTCCCTTCCCTCGAGCTGCGATGGAGGCACTCCAGCCCCCTTGTACTTGTGTCGTCAGTGAGCCTTTGCAGGGGAAATGCAGTGTCCCAGGAAGACTGCCACTACCCAGATCTCATTAAAGAGAATTTCCAGCATGCCCCTTTCCCTCGCTGGGTGAGTGGAAGAAGCATGGTCCCAACCTCATGCCCAGCGTCAGTTCCTGAGCAGGCTGCTTGCTGCTGTCGAGCTATGACCAACACAGTGGTGGGTGAGGAGAGCGGAGCCAAGGTAGCTTCCCTCGAACCGACGTCTGCGGCCTCAGCCCTGCAGGTTTTCAGGCTAGGACAAGCTGCTCAGGAATGGCTGAGCTAGTTTTTTCTCCCCCTCCCTTTTCTTTATTAACCCCCTTACCGATGTTACCACTGCCACCCTGTCCTTCCTCCCCAGGAGTATGCTGCTGACGGCCAGCCAGTTTGCCACGCTGGACCGAGGAGCGCTCGGCCCGCGATTGCGGGGACCCAGCCGGCATCCTGGCTCAGCCACCTCCATTTCTTCCACCATTCCCACATCTTCTGGCAAAGCCTTATGTGAACCGCTGCCGTGGGGCAGCGTGCCCTCCTCAGGTGTAGGAAGGGAGGGGAGAGGAGAGGTGGGATGCCCCCAGCCACCTGCTTATGTGTGTGAAGCTTTGATGCCGCTTTGCCCTGCCACACGTATTATACCCGCTTTAAAAATAGCGTGCGTGGAAGGAGGAAAAGGGGAGGGACCAACCTCTTTGTATCTTAAAGGAAAAAAGCGTGCTTCAGAAATGTTCCTCCAGCATCAGGCAGCAATGGAAACTAACGGCCTTTTTGGGTCTTTTCTAGTCTTGGATGTAGGCGTTCAGCTTCAATTTTATTTTTTAAAACCTGCACTAATTTACCTGGTTTCTTAGGAAGAGAAGAGAGAATTTTTTTTTTAACTTTTATTTTTTATGGGTTTGTGTTCTTTTTTGTTGATGTCCGTTTGTATTGAATAATTTGCTACATTTGTAAAATGTAAGAGGTATATATAATATATGTATATTTCTAACGTAAAAAAATTGTAATTTTTTTCTTTTCAAGATTTTTTCTTAAAAAGAGGAGAGAAAAAATATTTTTTCAGGAAAAAACTTTAAAAAAAAAAGAAGCAGTGAAGATTCCTTTCTCCCCACTCAGCCTCCTTCCTTTCCCTCCCAGCCCTCTCTGAGGAGTGAATCGACAGTCGTCTTGTGGAGAGAATGAGTGAAAGAGGACAGAAGTATGTATGCCTCTGAGTGGAGGGTTTCTGTGTGTGCTCTGCTTGGGTTTCTTTCCAAGAAGGGGGCTACTGAGAGAGGGGGAACCAGGGGGTTGCTGTCTTTTTTTCTTTTTTTCTTTAGCGAAGGAGGAATACAATCAGAGTTTTGTATTCAGAATGTTGTGCAATATTTTGGAACGGGACATTGGTGTGTCTAGAGATTTAGTTAAAAACAAAAACAAAGGTTGATCAAATCTGTACAGTTTCTATTGTTCCAGATTTTTTTAAGTTTGTATTAAAAGCATGATATAATAATTGGTTGTCATGTGTTGTGTGCTCAGTGGGGAGAGAACACCTCTGTTGTGCCTCTCCCTGAGAGTAGGCAGTGGTGCTGCTGCTGGTGAAGAGGGACCAGGCTTCCTTCCCAGCCCGCCTTCAGATGAACTGGTGCTTGGTACCATCCTCTTGCATGTGAAATCACTGGTTCATAGTGTGCTCGCACCCGGTGGCAGTTTCACTGTGTTAGGAGTAGCCCAGTGGTGCCCGGGTGTTGTGCAAGACAGCAAGGGCAGCTGTCTTTTCTGACCTCTCCTGCTGCCAAGAATAGCAGTGGTATAGGAAAAAGGCGGTCTGCCTTGCCTTCCAGGGTCAAAGCCATGATTCAGCTCCCTGGAGCGAGGCAGAGAGCTGGCTTTCCTTCCCAGGGAGGGGGGGGGAACATGATACTTTGCCTTTAGCTCCTGGTGCCTCAGGGGCCTTCAGCAGAGCAACATGAGCATTCCCAAAATAGCAGGCTACCTGCAGCATCTTGTCCTGAAGGAAGTAGCTGGCCTGCAGCTTCTGTGTGGTTAAGCTGGGATGGTTTCCTAGTTCCTTTTGACCAGACCTGGTTATTTGTGGACAAAGCCTTCACAAGCAGTGGTTGCTGTGGAGGAGGTGCTGTTTGTGTTTTATTTTCCTTTTCCCCCTCCGCCCCCCCCCCCCCCCGCCAGGGGGCTGAAAACCAGTTTTGAGTTTATCCTTGAGCTGCTTCGGGTGCTTCCTAAGCCAAGGAAGCCTCCAGAGCAGTGTGTGTGGGCTGTCCTCCCTGCTTTTTCATCCTAGGTGGCTTCTCATAGCAGAGCGGCCTTGAGCCTGGAGAAGAGAACAAATGAAGGGTGATGAAGGTCTAGTGTTTCATTTTGTTTTTATTCCTCATTGCTCAGGTTTAACAAGAATTTGTGTAAGGGCTGCTGCCCCTTTCTAGTGAGAAAGGGTGAAACAGTTCCTTTGTGCCGAGGAAGATGCTTACAAGCATAGGAACCATCTTTCCTTCCCTCTGCTTGCCAAGTGATACAGCTTCCCCAAGCCATAACACAGCCTGGCTGCGCTCCTGCCTGCCTCCTGCTCCAGCAGTGGGTCACAAATCCCTATGCTGCCTCCTCAAAAAAGCTGTCAAAAGTAGCTTATTGAAGCATATTTGAGGAAACCAAATGTGGAGCTGGCTCCTGCTGGTGTCCTTCCCTGCACCCCCACAACCCCTCTGGCCTGACTTTCTTCCTGGAAGAGCTTGCGTTGCTTGCCCTTGGATTCCCAAGCCCTGGGAGCTGGGCTCCTGCGCATGCATGCTGCATGCCATGTGATTGTCACACTCTGCTAAGCAACGAAACTCTTTTTTTTTCCCCTTTGTGTCTCAAACCCTTTGTAATCATTTATCTAAAGCATGCGCAAACTCTTGCCCTTAGACATGTTTCTGGAAATGGAAAATCAAGGCGGAGTATGTGCCTTACTGATCCTTGCCCTGCATTTGCTTGGCTCTGAGGCAGCAGGACACAGAGCCTTTCCCTTTTTGGGCACAGGTACGCTGAATGGTAGGGCCTGGAGTTAGTTTACAGCTAATAGCTGTGCAGCCTGGGCAGGGATTAAGGAAAAGGCTTAGTATAGCCTTGTTCGTGTGCTCCTGTGCCGTCTTGGTGAGACAGCAAGGTGTGGGGAGGTGAAGTGCCCTTTTCCACCTTTAAGCAGCCTTTCTGGGCAGGGAAGGAAGTCGGGCAGGGAGCTCTGCAGAGAGGATGAAGGCTCTGCCCTCCTTCACCAGCGGTTCCCAACAAAAAGGTGAAAAAAATGTGCCAGAGCCCAGCGCTCGCCTGGCAAGGGGTGGTGCCGGAGGCAGGGTGGGGGGATAATTGCTGCGTGTTTGACACCAAGTTTGGGCAAGTGACCAAGTCAGTCCCCAAATATGGTCCTCCGGCACGGCATGGTAACAAGATGGGACTTGTCTCCTGAAGCCACTGGGTAATTTCTTCAAAGCAGGGGCGTGGGGTGTTGTTTAGACACTCGTCACAGGGGACTCCGTTATTAAGAAGGAAACTTGCAACTTGAGTCATTGAGCGGACGGGCTCCCACCTGGAAGGAGGAGACAGCTTTGGTAGAAAATGCAAAGCTTCATCCTTGTGTTTTTCAGTCTGTGAAAGCAGCAATTTCTGACATGAGCCAGGCTGTTCTGGGAGAGGGAGGGGGCTGGGGCCTGGAGGAAAGCCTTATGCAAGCATGAAAAGCAGGCTCTGAGATAGCTGTGGTGTGGATTTTATTGTAAATACAGGCCCAACAAAACAACCCAAGTTTGCTCTGGCAGAAGAGAGCGTCCCACTGCCCCACAGGCTCTCGGAGACTTGGGTTATTGGGCCTGAATAACGCACTGCACAGGCGGCCCTAACAGCAGGTGCCTCCCGCGCCCTGGCTTTCACCAGCATGAGCTCTC